TCACAGACTGAAACAGGCTCCGGGCTCTGAGCTGGCAGTCAGCACAGAGCCCGACGCGGGGCCCGAACCCACGAACCGCGAGATCATGACCTAAGCGAAAGTCGGACGCTTAACCGACTAAGCCACCCAGGCGCCCCGTTTGGGCATTACTTCTAAACTCCAGTAAACTCGGGCAAAATGCCATCTACCAAGATAGGATTCAGATATGTGTGCACACACAAATGTGTCCTAAGACAATGCTGTGGCATTGGCTGGGCAGGGGCCAGGGGCTTCTAGAACCATCCCTCACGCGCCAGCTGATTCTCAGAGAAGCCGTGGGTGTGTACATATGTGTAGCCCAGCTTTCCTCCAGGTTACACGCTCTCTGAAAACCTGTAGGTGCTTTTAGTGTGCTGTTGCCAAATGAAAGTCTGGGGCCACGGTTGAGTTGATGAGGCCTCGTGTCTGGGCCCCTGTGCCCGTCCGAGTCGGCCGTGGGCTCGCTCAGCTTAGCTCTGTGCTCATCCCGCAGGAATGCCGTCGGCGAGGTGGCCCGTTCCAAAATAGCTCGGGCGACGGCGAGAGCACAGATAAGATAGTGCCCCGGCGCGTGAGGTGGCGAAGCAGCTCTGAGTCCAAATATTTCCAGTTTCCCGTGCTCGCAGGCAGACTCTCAGTGGTATGAAATCGCACCCTGGCGGCCCGCCCCCCGAGAGCCTGTCTCTGGAAGCAGCACACGGCGGGTCCTCACTCTCGCACCTGCTCCTTCCACGTGTGTCTGATGCCATCCGTCCACGTGTCCTCTCCGTGGACAAGGTCCTCTCCCCGTCTCTTTTGTGAATGGCAGGGTCCACGTCCTGTGTCTGCCTGTGTAGGCGCCCAGGACAGACGCCAGCAGGGTCACGCACTCCTGACCGTGTCGCGCTCTCTGAGATTAGATTGAGCCCTCCCGACAGACATAGGCTATCGTCTACCCCAGTGTGAAATGTGTGCGTGGGGAGCATTGCCTGTGGGAGCACCAAGCCGGGGAGCACCGCGAGTGCTCAGGACATAGTTTCCGAGGACGGATGCCCCACGCCTCTGGCTACGGGAAGCGGGGCGCTGGTACGCAGCACCCTCTGCCCCTTGAGCCACGAGGGGCACTCGTGAAGACGCCCCTGACTTGGATCCTCCAGAAACGCAAGCAGCCATAGTTTTTTCAAGTCACTAAAAATCTAAGTTGAAATTTTATTTCAATTTAGCTGTCAAACAGCCCAATTTTTTTTCTCTAAATAGCAAATTGTAGCTTTGAGAAGGGGCCTCTGAGCCATGTTAACGGTGATGGCTGGCCCTGCCGTGGCACCGATTGTTGCAGGGGCCACTCTGAGTCTACGCATATCAACCCCTGACCTCATCTCCCCTGACCTCGCCTCCCCTGACCTCACCTCCCCTGACCTCACCTCCCCTGACCTCACACCCCCTACCTCACATACCTGACATCATTATTACAATTTTACCGACAAAGGAGCGGATGCACAGAGAGGTTAAGTAACCTGTCCAATGCCACATAGCCAAGCGAGAGACAGCATGCACTAGAACCCAGATCACTTGGTTCCAACACCTAAGTTAAGCCCTGCCCCAGACACCCGAAGCTGCTGGCTACGCAGCTGTTTCGAGGGTCCCAGTGGACAGCCGTTCTCCAAAATGCTTTCCAAAGACAGGCAGACTTTGACAAAGTGTAGCTGCAGCTTGGCATTTCTGAGGAAGGCCGTTACTGGGTGCCGTGGGCCGACCCAGTGTGTGGCTGTGCGGCTGCACTAAAGCAAGTGTGAGGCTGGGACGGGGCAGCCTGTGGGATGACCTGCTTTTGGGAATGAGATCAAATACTGGCCTAGGAAGCAGTGTGCACAGGCCAGGGGTAATCCAGTATGCACACCTACTCAGCGAACTCACTGGACACGCGAGCCTCCCTCGCGTGTGTGGCCCCGTTCCTGTCACCCAAGGATGAGAAGGAGGCTCAGCCTTGGGGGCCCCAGAGCCTGGCAGTCCTCATTCTCCATAACTCACTGGCCCAAGAACTGCTGACCTTGCTTTCCCTCCTGCCCTGTACTTCAGGATGACGATGCCTTCTTCATACGCTTAAGTGAGATCAAGTGGGGCCACATGGACACTTGGTATTTTTTTTTAAGTTTCTTGATTTATTTTGAGAGAGAGACGGAGCACAAGTGGAGGAGAGCTAGAGAGAGAGGGAGAGAGAGAATCCCAAGCAGGTTCCATAC